AGCCGATGGTCGCTCTCCGCTCGTATTAATCGACCGCGGCATCAGAAATGCTGAATATTATCGCCAAAATATCCTAGCTTCATTTCCAGCGCACAATGGCCACCAAAATCTGCGGATACCAATCCATTGGACTATTGTGTGTCGTGCCAAAGGTGGCCAATTCGAACAAATCTAAACTTCTTCTTAAATTTAATGCTATTTCTGACATATTTTGCTTTCAGTCAATAAAATTAAAAAAGAAAATATTTAAAAATTCTGGCGTTTGACTTTGTTGCAGTTTCTTTTAATCTCACTCTGTGTGATTTGATTACTAATGGAAATGAGTCCTATATTTCTAGAAACAGTACTAAATTTGGTTTAGGGTGAATGGATGCAGCTGGAATTTTAAAATTTTGTATTGGGGTCCCTGCTGGTGGATGGTTCGTGTTTAGTTTTGGTACTACAATTGTACGAAAAGTACTAAATAGTACTATATTTGTTACAATTTGATATTGGGTGAATAGATAGTGCTTGAAATCTGAAATTTGGTATTAGGGTTGCTGCTCGTGTGTAGACACGACATATGGAGGTGTTTTCGGAATTGTGTACTATAACGGTACGTAAAGTACTAAATGGTACTATATTTTGCATTGGGTTAAGGGATATAGATACAATTCTTAAATTTGATATCTAGATAAATGGTGGTATGTGTGTTTGAGATTTGACGGTGATTTCGAAATTCGTCCTATATTTGTACGAAAGCACAAAATGATACTAAATTTGTTATTGGATGAAGAAATAGAACTTGAATTCCGAAATTTGATTTTGAAGTGTCTGTTGGTATGTGGAATTGAGATATGGAAGTGGTTTAAATATACGTCTAAATTTGGTATTTGGCGAAGGAATTTGATATGGATGTCAACGTTGGTGTCTGTTGGTATCTGGAATTAAAGGCATCCTATATTTGTACGAAAAGTACTAAATGGGACTAAATTTTGTTTTGGGTAAAGGGAAAAAGCTGGAATCTTGAAATTTGATATGGATGTCACCGTTGGTGTCTGTGGTCGAGAGAAGAAGCTGGTTTTGCATACGCGTACCATAATTGTACTAAATGACAGAAAATTTGGTATTGGGTGAAGTGATAGGGCTGGAATCGTGAAACGTGACATCTGTTGATATCTGGATCTTTTGGTATCTGGAATTGAGATATGGTGGTTTTTGAAATGTGTACTGTAACTGTACGAAATGTACGAAGCTGGAATCCTGAAATTTGATATAGATGTCACTGTTGGTGTCTGTTGTTGAGAGATTTAGTTTTTGGATATGCGTACTATAGTTGCACTAAATTTGGTAAAGGGGGAAATTACAGAACTTAAATTTCGAAATTTGATATTGAGGATTCTCCTGGTATATGGGATTGAAAAATGGTGGCCGTTTTGTAAAAGAGTACTATAATTGTACGAAAATTACTAAATTGTAATAAATTTGGTATTGGGTGAAGGTTCTATTCCTGAAATCCAAAAATTTAATATAGATTTGAATGGTGTCTGCGATTAAGGTATGGAGATGGTTTTCTATATGTGTACCATAACTGTACGAAAAGTACTAAATAGTACTAAATTTGGTATTACAGTAGAAAAATTCCTGATATTTAATATTGTTGGTTTCTAGGGTTTACCTAAGGAGAAGTTGAAATAGTTTTGGACAGTAAAAATGAATGTAGATCCATTGTGCAATGGTTTAACTAATATCCTCCTTGCTAAATTTGAAAATGAAAGATTTTGAAGACTTTTTGGTTATTAAGTAAACATTTTCATTTTGTTCTTCTCGACACTCTGAAAATTTGCGTTTTGAGTATCAAAAAGGCCAAACTCCAACTGCTGGAACGAATCTAAAATTTTAAGGTGGACATTTTGCTAACGAAGTAGAGTAAATCCTTTGAATATCTCATATCTGATTGCTGATCCCAGTTAAACTGGATTTCGGCAGACTAATAAAAGCCATATCTGCACACGAAACTTTACACTCAGTATATTTTCCCCAAATGTACATGTGTGTGTGTGTGCGTGTCCTCCCAGCGACCATAACGAGTATATTTTATTTCATTCCAACTCTGTTATTCCTCTTACTTTCCTTCCCATATCATGTGAGTGCGGATGAAACTGCTAGCTTATATTATTAAATTGCTTTTGATAGACGAAATTAATTTGGCCAAATATTTTCGACACTGTTACCAATTTCTAGGAACTTACAATAAACCAATATCCTTCGCCCCACCACCACCACCATCTCATATGGCTCGCTCAATTTGCCACTCGCATAAAGCTTTAAGCGAGTGAACGAGAAGATTTTCATTCAATTTCCATCAATTTTGTATTTCCCAAAGATTTAGAGACCATAAAAATAATCATAAGAAGAGTAAGAGGAAGAGAGAAAAGAAAAACAACCAAAGAAATGAAGGAGATAATTGAAAATGGGAACTAATAAAATTGGGATATAAAAACGACGAGGACACAAATTGTTGATAAGCGAGCAGACGATATGAGACAACCAAATATCAATGAATCTTTTGATTTCCTCTCTATTTTTTCGGTGCAGTCCATAAATGGTGTGGGAAGGATTAGAGGAGATTTAATTTGGAATGTATAGGAAAAGTTTTATTAAAGTACACTACGTTTTTACTTTAAAGACTCAATTATCATTACTTATGCGATTTATATAGGGTGACTGAGGACTCTTTCCAAAAAATCGTAAAACATACTTAAATTTTGTCAAGATGAGAGTATAAGTCCCCGAAAAAGAAATAATCACCAATTACATACAAGATGAGATGTAAAAACTGCAACCAACTTCAGAATGCTGTCATTTCTTAGCCACTCGTCCGACAGCTGTTAAAATTGTTCCAGTGACAGCTCATTATATTGTTTACAAGCGTACAAAAGCATTTTGTTGAGAATTTTCCAGAAAAAAAGTTATTCGTGATGGAATTCAACTGTGTGATTTTTTTATATTTGACTGGAAAACCACAAGTGGCTATCGTTAGAGCATCCAGCATTTAAATGTGAATAAATCATTTGTGTCTCGTAACATCGCTCGTTACCGTAATAACGGTAGCGTAGTCCGACGTCAAGAAAGAGGACGAAAGAAAACAGCAACATCAGCAGAAATGGTTCGAAGTGGCCGAAAAATGGCTCGTGAGCTGAACATATCGTAATATTCCTTCCGGTAAATATTAAAAAATGAGCTCGGGGTAAAGCCATTGAAATTCCAAAGAGTGCAAAAACTTACACCGCAACAGAAAGAAAATGGACCCAAACGAGCTAAAGAGTTGCTTCGCTTGGCCGAAAGTGGTGAACTGCCGAATTTGGTTTTCTCCGATGAGAAAATATTCGTCGTCCTGCAGTTTGTAAACAAACGAAATGATCGTATTTACTTGCCAAAGAGGTCAGCTGAAAATGTGCACCTTCGGTTGGCCAACAGAACTCAAGCGGCGGCCATGGTGACGGTGTGGGCCGCCATAACAGCCGATGGTCGTTCTTCGCTCGTATTAAACGAATAGAATAAATGCCAAATATTATCGCGAAAATATTCTGGAGGGTATATTAAAACCACGCAGACATTTTGGCCGCAGACCTTGGACATTCCAACAGGACTCACCACCATCGAACTTAGCACGCGCCACCCAAGAGTGGTTACAAAATGAGGTTCCTCGCTTCATTTCCAGCGCACAATGGCCACCTGGTCTGGAATTTTTTGGAAAGCAAGGTTGGCACAAAAAAATACCAAAGTGTCGATCACCTCAAGCAAGCGCTTCGCCGGGAATGGGCCAAAATACCGCAGAGCAACATTGGGGCAGCCTAAGACGGTTTCATTGACCGTTTGAAGGCCATAATTCGTGCCAAAGACGATCAATTCGAACAAATCTAAAGTTATTCTAAAATTTGATGCTATTTTCGACATTTTTTGATTTCATTCAATAAAATTGAAAAAAATATGTAAAAACGATGGCATTTGGCTTTTTTGCATTTTTTTATCTCACCCTGTATATATGTATATAACTATCTCAAATAAAGGGGAGGAAATAGTTGATATAGTCCAAACCTGTCACGTTGCAATATTTATATTACAATTAGGTCATATGCGAAATGGAAAATATTGTCCCACTCTTTCAGTACAATCCCAATAAACGGTATACTTTTTAAATAATAAAGTCGAAATATATTCCACTATCAGAACTACAGGTTTGCCTATATTCGACGGACCCATCCGGCAACGCCATAACTTTTGACAGAGATGTCACATCGCTTAATGACATACCGCGTTTGAAGCGTCAGTCCAAGCAGATTTTTACCATGAACACATACTGGCCACGCTAGCGCTCTGAAATAGTTGAAATTTACAAGAACTCAATTGTGAAAACGCAACGTGCGCCATCTAAGAACACCATTAAGCGTTTATACGAAAAAATTTCGACTGGTAAGGCTCTTTCTAATCCGAAGAGGCCATATAAAAGTCGACCAAGGCGATCGGCCGAGAATATCGCTGCCGTACGAGTCAGTGTAGAAAGGTCCCCAAGAACATCCCAAAAACGCCGTTCTCAGCAGTTGGGCATGGCTCGGTCCACTTTACAACGGATTATTCGCATTGATTTGCATTTGTTCCCGTACAAAATTCAATTGACGCAAAGAATGTTGCCTGCGGACAAGCCTCGTCGATTGGAATGGGCCCAAAGGGTCCAAAGGTCCGTCGAATATGGGCAACCCTGTATAGAACCAATCTGGAAAAATAAATTTTTGGAAATATTAAATTGGAAACTATAGTTTGATGTCGAATATTTACCTTTCTTTTGGTTAATGTATGTCTTATATACAAGATTCAGTGCCTTCACAATTTCAGTTCAAGAGAAGAAACATTACTTTAAGGGCTCTAGTAATTCAAAATAGAATATTAGGAACCCTGAAAACCTCGCTAAATTTCAAGAAGCCTCAATATTTAATATGACGACTAAAAATATTTATCCAAATAGTATGTGTCTCTGCTGTAGTGGTCCAGATGAAGAAAAAATCTCCGCAATACATCAACACGAAGAGGTGTTGGGTTTAATACCCTGGTAAGGAAGACTGATGCTTTCACATATTTAACTCTGTAAAAAAGAAAACTTTTATAAAATAAGATATCAAATTTAAGAGTCAAGCTAAGTATACGCAGAATCTTATAAAATACAGTTTCAATTTTAGAATGTATCTTAAGCAGTTTTAAGCCTTTTACAGAGAAAGGAAAATTCTATTTTCCCTTTTTAATGTTTCCCCCTAGTAACCTGCCCTCTGAATGGTACTTCTGCTACCCAACACAGAATATATGATCTGGAGGAAATTGTTAAATGTGATTTCTGCACATTCCTGAAGTTTGCTTAGGTATGTGAAGTTTCGAATCGATTTAAAACGCTTCATTGAATATCAAAGCAATTGCATTCGAATATCTGTTGCACTGCCAACAAAGAGTAAAATCCTCCTTTGTTTTATGTGCCACACAACACACTCACACCAACACACACATATTCCCTTTACATTGGGAAAAGCTCGTTTACTACTTAAACAGAACTTTAAAAAAGACATTGCTTCTTTTTTTTTTTGTTACTTCCTCGCATTCGTTCCATATGCTAAAAGGCATTGTTGATGTTGACGACATGGATACGCATGCACATTCAGGCTACGACATTTGTATGTGCCACCACCAGACAGCCATTTGGTTATAACTTGACTTTAAGTACTTCCTGTTCCTGCTGCTGATATGGCTGTCTGTTGTGGAGAAACAATTGTTTCACATGTGTGTGTGTATGTATGCGAGTGAGTGAAAGTGTATGTGTGTGTGTGTTTTGAATCTATTCCTGGCATTTGTGGCACACAGGGTATACGAATGTCTCTTTTCGGAACGATGGCTACAACCAATGACTCCAACAAACAGCAACTCGCACAAATATGCGCGCATTGATGTTTATTCAACTTCGATTTCGATAATAAATTTTAGATTTACATTTGCCTTTGCATTGCCATTGAACTGATAAGGGTCTGAAAAAGGGTAGTGGATTTCATGTCGATTGTAAGCACAAACAAAACAACACACCCAGTTTTCTTTACGTATTCAAATATGTACATGTATTAGATTCGAAGTTGAAAATTTAGAGTTTTTTAAGAAATTTCAAGAGCACTTTGGTTGTTACTTGAATATTTCCAAAAATTATGAAGGCTACGTTAACCGGAGTAGTTACCTCCATTAGCGAATGGCTCCACAAAGTTATTTCAGACTTTTTTCGTTTTTGAAAAATAGTCAGGCTTAATCCCATTAATGTTGTTTTTATAAAAAATAACGTTTGTTTATAAGTGGAGAAAGATGGTAAGAAAGAAGGGGGTAAGGCTCTTTCCGAAACCTAGGTATTCTCTGACTTACCCTCTTGATAAGCATTACCATCTTTCTCCGCTAATAAATAAACGTTGTTTTTATAAGTGAAACAATAATGGGATTAAGCCTGACAATTTTACAAAAACAAAATACTACTGTTTCCCGAACAAGCATGCCAACACTGTTCTGTTATTTTAGACTAATACCAATAACTATTCCCGAAAGTCACTCCCTTTGGGCTGATGTTAGCCATTATTTGCACAATAAACCTAAGAGAGATATATCAAAATCTTAGTCGTTCTCGATAAAATTTGGCAAAATATTTCCGAGCTCTATAAGATATCTGGTACCAAATATTATTATTGTCAAATGCATATTACGAATGTGAGGGACTTCAACACCAAATCAGATGAAACATATATATGGGAGCTAAAGCTATATCTGAACTGATTTGATGTATTTACATCTAGACTGAATTCGGTCGGATGTGCCAAAATTCAGGTCATTTTAACCGATGTTGGCCATTTGGTGCACAATTAACCCGAAATCGGTTGAAGGTATATATGGGAGCTATATCCAAATCTGAACCGTTCTCGATAACATTTGCAGAGGTGTTTCTGCGATATATCTGACATTTGGTACCAAATATCATTGTTGTGGAGTGCATATTACGCATGTGAGGGAGTTAAAACCCGAAATCGGATAAAACATATATATGGGAGCTATAGCTATATCTACACCGATTTTGATGTACTTGCCTCTAGACTGAATTAGGTCAGATGTACTAAAATTCGATCTAGGGGTGTCCGTCCGTGTAGCTCACGAAGGGAGTATCCGATTTAGTTCAAACTTGGAAAATCGTAATGTTATTATTAAACTTACATCGAGTTAGGAGATGGGCAATATAGGTCCACTCCTTCTGGTACCTTCCGCCAAAAAAATTCGAAAATTTCAAAAAAATATTTTACTGTACAAAAAGAGAAAGGATAATCCGATTTTTTGCAATTTTTGATAAACCCAAGCTCTGGTGTGAAGATGGAATATATCTGTCCCCTCTTCTGGTGCCAATGGGTCCAATTTTTGAATATACATGAAGCTTCTAAAAAGCGAAATTAACACTCGATTCCATTCAGACTTGGCACATCTCAATATTTCTATCAACACACATGATCTGTTATAACGATGGTACCTCCGCCGCATAGAATTCAACATTTTGAGAAACACACGGAGAAAAAATCGAAATAAACTCTCTTCAAATTTCACAGACACAAACATTCTAGCAATCACAAGATATTTTGGGAAGATGATATATATCAGCGAACAAAAGGTCACAGTTTTCAATACTTTTGTCTTTAATAACTTGCGAAACAACTCAGCGATTCTTTACATCTAAGTATTTCTCTCAACCACAAAGCTGAGATTAATATGGAATTTATGATTTCGCATAAAATTGGATATAAATTTTCGATTTTCTTGTAATTTTGTCCATACCAATATTTTTATCTGTATTAGATGAAGTATGAAAATAGAATAATTCGTTCGACTACATGTGGTACCTCACGCACATTTTAACATATTCTAAAAATTATCACATATCTCATAAAGAAGTAAAGGAATTAGTCGATATATTCCAAACCTGCCTTGTCGCAATTTTTTTTAATATTTATTTAGGTCCGATACGAAATGGACAATATTTGCCTATTGCTTCGGAACATACTCAACAATTTGAATAATCATAAAAGAAGTCACCCTCAGAACTAAGGATATACATCTTTCTGCTAATCATATGGACAGTGAAGGGTGAGTTTAATTGGAAATCAGAAGATTACGAACTCAATACAACAGAGACATGTCAAAAGGCATGCAAAATCTGTACGGGCAATTGAAACATTGACATGGGCGGGTCTTGAAAACAGAACGACTTCGATTCGCTTTCTGGATTGTCGTTCCCCCTTAACTTCATCTCATGGTTTTCATGGGCTATTGTTCGTTGTGATACAGCGTCTCCTGTTTTTTTTTTATTAAGAGAATATTCTTCATATAGAGAAGCCTAAAGGAATAAACTGAAGTTGCCGCGATGAACCGACAGAGGAGATCCGCTTCGTGGTTCGCCAAGAGAAATTTAAACTTCATATGTTCTTTCAACTGGGTTTTTTTCTACACAACTCGAAGTTGTAGTTGGTTGATACGATACGAAATTACAATATTGGCACATTCCTTCGGATCAGCAATTTGAATAATCATAACACAACCAAATTATATTTAATATCGGGCCACTCCTTCTGATACCCCAAGACGGGAAAAAATATTCAAAAATTATGACTCTTATAAAAAGTGAAATAACCATCCAATTCTCTTCAAATTTCACATCACATAATTTTGCTGGTGTGAAGATTGAATATACCCGCCCATCAGAATGCAACTAAAAATATTTATTTAAATAAAGGAATATCGCCTCAAGGTATGCATCGGCACAGTCGACTGATACCTTTTAGGTCGTTACTAATTTAAAAAAAAAAAAGCATTTTGTAAATTTTAGCAATATGACAATTTTTGGGAAACATACCAGGATCAGCTTCGTAATAGCTTTAAGTTTGGTAGATATATAAGAAATAATTATTCAAAACAATCATTAATTGGAGGTCACAATAATTCAAACAAACACATACATATTGTATTGGAAATAAAATCAACGGGCAATCCTTTCCCAAATTTATACACGTGCACTTGAATCAATTGCACGACAAATGTTTCGATTAAATTTGAAGACCATATAATGTAATACACTCCCGTTATAACACTTTAACCCCTCTCCACCCCTACCAAACAAAGGTATGCGTGTAAATAAGCTTGTATTATAGCCGCTATCGGTGTGCGTATGCAAACATGCAAGATAGTAGTGGTAGAAGTAAATGGTTGTTGTAATTTATTTCAAGCATCGACTTGTTTACCCCATTACATTATTTTGTGGCAGTAATGAAGCGTGTCAACATTCCGACATGTCGATAATCGGTTTTCATTACGATTTGTGTGATATAATGCAACACGCACGAACATGCAAACATTTAGAGTTTCATTCACATAAACCTAAACATTTGTTGATAAACAGATAAGACTAGAACACTCCCCCTGTTCATATCTTCCTTTGTCCTTTTCAAGTGTTGTACGATTTGAAAATATTTGTTTGATTTGATGTTAAATTAGATTCGTAGAATAAATAATTTGAGACAATGACATTCATTCATTTCTCACAAAGTGGGGGAATGTAGGTCAACAGAGGGAAGGGCTTGGTTGAAAGGATTGCCTGTTTAAGGCGCATTTTGATACCCTTAGGTAGCTAAGGGAAACTTGTTTAAAATAAAATGTAAATGTACGAAAATAGAAACAATAAAGCAAAAGGGGAGACAGTAGCGATAGCGACCATGAACTACGACTTGTTTGAGATTGATAAATGCGACTTGAAAAGAAAACACTGTGATAAGTTTGCAGAGATGTTTTCCATTTTTTTTTTTTTTTTATTTATTCTCCATCACATAATTAAATGAAAACTAAAGTTCAAATTATTCGCATTTCTATTGTCTCTAAGGAAATCGAAAGAATCGTTTAAAAAATCCCTCAGCCATATGGCAAAAGAGAGTATACATGATTTGATATGGCCAAAACGTTCCTCATCGAAGTAACGATTTTAGATCCTGGTGGCTGGTGCGTACGAAAACTCTCGAACGTTTGGCCCAAACTTGGTAC